TAATTATTGTGACTGTGGCCAAAATTTCCCACACTGAAACCTGTTTCCTGTTTCCATATGAAACAGAGGTTTCACTGATGCCACTAAAGAGCAACGGCTAATTCTGATACCCTATTCCTCATTCCACTCAAGTGAGTAATGTTGTCTCACAAAAAAAAAAAAAAAATTCATGCCTGGATGCCTGGTCTTATCCATTTGTTCCCTTAACTTCTATCATTGCATTAAAGTTGCCTTTCTTTGCTTTATTGCAAAGCAAGTGTCACAAAGCAACAAGATTTTTAATTACTTCGCGAGAGTTACTGCATACACGAATAGGAGTAGATGATGGAAAGCGACGTCGAAATTCCAGTGCCATGGAATCAACCTACCTGGCTAACTCCAGCCTCACAGAACACACTTGGGAAAATCACCAAATGCTGCATGCCAAGGATACCCCAAGTTTCTCACAGAATGTTAAACCCATGCGTACCCCAGGTCCCCAACAGACAATCTAAAAAAAGAACTGAAGCTCTGAAAGTGTACAGAAGTCACTACTGGAAAGAGAAGGGAAAACCATCTGCACAGAAAAATAACAGCTGAATCCATGCGAGGAACTGCGTTTCCCTGTGGAGAAAGGGGAAAGATCAAACAGGCTAAAGACAAAGCTGCGGAAAGTCTCCAGTCGGAGGGAAAAGCAGAAGAAACAGTAAGAAATACAGCGACTAAATAATGAGACAAAACGGAAGAGGGGGGACAGTCACTCGAGCCTCTCTTACAAAAAACAAGCTTCGGAAGACAGAGACTAGCGTCAGGGCGGAGGGGCGGGCGGGGGGCGGCCTCCCCAACCAGCGGGTCGGCGGGAGTCACCCTGAGCCGGCGCGGGCACAAGTGAGGGAAATTAATCAAACGGCAGGTGGAGACCTTGCTCAGGGAACTCAACTGCTAAAGGATGAGCTGGGCCCTAGGGGGCGGGCGCTGGCACACTGCGTCCTGAACAACGCTCACTGGCCGGACAGGCCAAGCAGCGGGTAAGGAGCGCGGCGGAGTCGGGAGCCTGCGCCGGGGCCGGAAGCCGTGGGAGCGGTTCATGGGAGCGGGGGTGAGGCGACATGTCTCACAGAAGGAGTTCAAAGATGCCTCCACATGAATATACTTTTTTCTTTTTTAATTAGGTGGAAAAGCAGGAAGGAAGGCTAAGAATGAAAATAAAGGCAGAGACACAAGCAAGGCCCAAGAGCAAGAGAACAAGAAGCTGGAAGTCAAAGCAGAAACAGGCAGAGGATGGGCGGTCAGTCGTGAAACGAGAGGGAAAAAAAGCTTCTTCTCTTTTGTTATAACAGTAAACAAAGACGCTAGGCCGTCTGGGTTTAAAGGCCTTTCCTTCGAGTCCAAAGTGTAGTCAAAGCTTACGTAAAAACAGCAAAGATATAAAGGGATGGAAGAAAAATGCCGACAGAACGCTGAAGACAAGCTCACTATGCCTACAGACTGGGCAATCTCACATGCAAAGTATCCCAGGGTGTGTTTTATACATCAATGAATTTTAGTTGTATGGCCTTGGTGTTCCCCAAAATACTAAGTACCACACCAATAAATGACACAGTAGTAAACAGAGTCTGTAAGGGAAGATTACTGAAGATTTATAAATAAGTAGTTATCAAGATAAATACCAAATATATTTTATTTCCATGCAAATAAAATAAAAATAAGTCTTGGTAAATAAATTATTTTCTTTTAAAAGTAAGCAGACAGCATAGTGGTTGCCCCCAGGGGACGTGACTAGAAATCAGCGCAAGGAAACTTTTAGAGTGATGGAAATTGCTCTGTGTATCTTTACGAGTGTTGGTGGCAGTACAGTCAGCCCTCTGCACCCAGAGGCCCGTTTCCGCGGACCCCACCATGTCAGGTAAAGGACCTAAGCATCCACGGATTTTGGTGTCTGCGGGGGTCCTGGAATCAGTCCTCCATGGACATAGATGGACAACTGTACGGACATTGGCCACGGTACATAAAACTCACTTGCATCTGTACATTATTCACTCTGTAATTATATCATTTTTCAAGTTAAAAAGAAAAACAATGCCAAAGTATAAACAGAGCTGGAGTACAAGGAACACACCTAACATTACAGAAAACAGGAAATACTTCACTCTGAATAAGAGGCCATCTCAAGAGACAATGATGTGATCACCTACCTACTCATTTCAGAATACCTCACCAGCCAGTTCTACCAAAATGAAGTAATTACTTCCTGCAAATATTCTCAGAAAGAAATTCATTTATACTCTGTAATACCACACAATGGATCTATTTATTTCCCCAGTAGTACATTTAGCAACCCATTCCTCACAGCAGGTTTACTAGGAAGCTAAATCCTGAAGATCAGAGAGATATTCAAAGCAGCAACACCGAGGGCTTGATGTATTGAACGGACTAATCCTCCCAGTACCTGACAAGCCCACGTTACTGAGTGTTTAAAACGTGCCGGTCTGAAACTAACACAATACTGTAAATCAATGATACTTTATTAAAAGAAAAATGTGCTCATACTGTTGTCAATGCCTGCCCCATACTAACGTCTGTGCTCCTCCCAGCACCCTATTAGAGAGGCACTCCTACCACTCCCAGCTCAGAGGTGAAGAAACTGAGGCAGCCTGGGCGCAGGCGTCCTGTCGGCATCAGCTGGGTCGTTATAACGGCCAGTCTGACTCCAGACACAACTGTCTTCATCACTCAACCTACTGCCTCTCTGGAACCATGTCTTTACATTTTCTCGGCTGAGATAAAGGTTGTCTCGACAGTGCGGAGCCCTGGGGTCTCCACCCATTCCTTACTCACTTACTGCCCAGCAGTCCAAGATCGCGTCTTAAAGAACAGCTCTGGCTTTGCTTGTAAGTACTTACGAGGCCCCCATGAGTATACCAGATGGCTTAGGCTTCTCTGCTTTTTTTTTCTTTAGAGTGAAACTTTACTGTCTACTCAATTGCAGTTTTGAGGGAATGCGTCCTAATCTCATTCTCCTCATGGCACACCTGGAGAGAAGCCCCGGGGGGACGGGCCCACACAGGGCACTCCCTGGTGAGAAGTACCAACTGAAAGTCTTGCATTCAAAAATAACAACTCTGATTTAAAGAAGCTGACAGTTGGAACCACACAAAAAGTATTCAAATACAATTTCAAAGACTGTATATTACTTAATAATTGTTTTCAAAGCCCTTGCCTTTTTAATAATACAGTGTTCTTGCTGTGTACCTGTAACTTACCCCAAAGAAAACCAGTAAACTACAGCCCTCTGAGTGGGAAGTTCTGCTCTAAACTATTAGAAAAGAACAGCTGTCCACCTCAAGTAACCTCCTACTCAACCCCCTTCAACAGCCTAGTTGAGAAAAACAGTATTTCTGGAGAGTTTAATTGTCCAGGGATTTCACATTTTGTCCTTAGTTTGAAATGAACCATTAAAAAGGCAATACACTTGGTCCTGAATGCTTTGTACTTCCATACCCTTTACAAACACCGTCTTACATTTTCAAGCCACACTTCACATTGGCTGGAAGACAACATAAGAAATATCATGAAATTGGTCACCACAGTTACCACAGAGATGTTATTAAGAACTCTGCCCTATATAAAATGTTCAAAAATATATATCTGCCTTGATGTAACAAGTAAAGTTTTTCCTCAAGGATCTCAAGAATACATAGTTTCACATTTCCTTTTACACTCTAACCATTAAAAGCTCAAAAATTAATTTAAGACTAAATTAAATAAATTATGTCTGACTTTATAGCCTGAAGATCTCAATTCTATTTTCTTGAGTATTTTTGAGGTTTAACTTTTTTAATATTTAAATCTTTGCTACATCTAAAATTTATGTTGGCATTAATGTCTTCAGTACAGAAGTTCTACTTTCTTTAATCAAGTCAATGTCTCTTTTTTAATGACCATTCCCCTCCAGCATTCTATTCTATTCTTTCCACCCTTACCTCATTCCATCCATGCCAATGTTTGTTATTTGTGCTCTTTTACATTTGTGAGGTATGTATGTGTATCACTGAAGTTCAACTACGTATATTTGTGTATTTGCACTTCATGCTGACTAAAGTAATTTGAAAAGAGCGTAAGACAAAGTAGTGTAATTTCACTGTGAATCATAAAATATAACCAAAGAGTTTTGTAGAATCTGTATCATTCCTTAATTGCTCGGTGGATTTCCCTAGAGAAGCCATCTAGTCCTGGAGCGTTTTGTTGTTACTGAAGGTTTTCAACTACAGAATCTATTTCTTTAGTAGATACTGAGCTATTCAGGTTATCTTTTCTTTCTGGAAAGATCTCATTTGTGTCTCCTGAGGAAATGGTAAACTTATTAGCATAAAGGTGTTCATAATATTCCCGTATTCCTATTATCTGTAGTCACTTCTCTCATTCTTGATACTGGTCATTTGGGTTTTCTCTTTCTCTTAATCAGTTGGGCTTTTTTTACAGTAGCAGTTAACCTTAGGGACTAAAAAGTATGATTTTGAGAATTTACGACTGTTACGATGGAAAAATGACAACCCTTAAAATGACAAATTTACCTCTAACAAAGCTGAACCACTCGAAACAAGCCCCGATCAGCCACGAGAACGTTTGCTGTGAGGCCCCGAAGGAGAACCAAGAACAGCTCCCAGGCGGGAGGCGTCTGCTCTCTACCTTGACCCGGGCGCCCTCTGCTGACAGCACAGCAAGACAGACCGCGGAGCTAGACCGGCAAAGTTCATCCGCACACGGGAAATGAATTCATTTTTCAAATAATTCAAAATCAACATTTTAGATAAGAATAGATTAAATACTGACTCTGATACAGAACCAAGGAGAAATAAGCATCTGTGAATCGACGACTGAAATAACACAAATTTTATATACAGCACGTGCCATGTTTCAATATACTACTTTCCAATGTTAATCCTTAGGTACAAGAAGGATTCGAAGTTTTAAACTCATTTTAAATATTTTTAATAATTTCTTGGTGGGGAAGTGTTTACCTGGATCTGTTCTGGTGTCCATTGGTCTAGGTTGACTGACTTGACCCTGGATATGTGAACCCCAAGATTTCTATGGATTCCAGCACATCTGATGCAAATAAACACACCAATATTCCAGGAAGCCCATCGAGGACCTAATTAAGGAGAAGTAAAGAAAACCAAATATTAAAAACTAAAACAAGTACTGTAACAGCACATAAGCAGCATTCTGGTTCTTTATACAATTATCAGAGGGTTATAGAATTTCCACTCAAACTGTCAAACAGCACAGTAGCAGCTGGCTAAGAAGACGTGTGTTTTGGTTGTGCTGAAAGGTTATAAATCAACCTTCAGGAACCTTAATGAGTTTACTAATTTTGCTTTCCTAGGAGCTTCTTCCCCCCAAATCTGTCTAATTTAAAACAAACTTATGTCAAGGTTTTTCACTCAGCATATTTGAACCAGAAGTGGTAATATCCCACAGGAAAAAGTAAGTTTTTTATCAAATGTGTAAGGTATCGCTTTTATCAAATGTGTAAGATTGCTAACAAATAAAAATCAAAGAGATTTTTTAAAATGAAGAACAGAAACTAGTGAGAAACAGACAACAAATCTGGTAGAAAATGGACAAAATGACGAACGGGCAATTCACAGAAGAAATGTATGGCCAATAAACACACAAAAAAACGTGCACACCCTCACTGGTAATTAGGGGCAAATGCCCTGTAAAACTACAGCAACCTTCACTTTGCATTCAACACACTGGGAAAAAATTTGAATGGATTAATACTAAGTATAGGATGAGAAACAAGGACAGCCTCAAGAAGCCCCATATCAACACTCATCTCAAATATAAGTCTCAACTATAACCCTGAGACGAGGAAAAGCTACAGATGAACTGAAGTGTGCTATAAAACGTTAGTTCTTTGGGTCACGGTCAAAAACTCCTGAAAGACACTACAGAGAAACTCACCATTTCTAAGTGCACATCTAACAAGCCTCAGCCCCACTACTCTTCATACCTTTGAATGCACTGCCTCTGATACCTTTAAGTTTCCTTATGATTATCCTCATATACTGCCTGTCTCGTTACAGTAAAAATGCAAAAATAAAACATCTGGAAGTTATGTCAAATACTCAGAAGCTTACACATAACCGATTTCTAGAAATCGCCTGATTATGAAAAAATATGTATAGTAAGAGATATCAATGAAAACCAAGCTTTTTGAAAAATGGAGGCTTCTGTTTAGGTACATACTTTTTTATCTAAAGGTAAGAGTTAATCTACAAAATAACACTGAAGCCAGTAATTACAATGTAGTGAGCCTGAACACATCCCCCCAAATCCCTTAGGAGGTAGGTTATACAGTTATAATTTATGCCAAAATATCCTTTTAAATTTGAGAAATGACACCTATAAATTGACAGCCATCTGGGACGCACTCTATTTAAACATGGGATCGTTAACAGTGTCAAAGTGAATTTGGGCCAAAGCCCTGTACCATGCATGTACTCTGCCACCTGTGGGCTGCAGAAATGACACTGGACTAGTTCCCAACTGAGCAGCGAGGTTCTCACCTGCTACAGTGGAGTCAGAACGGCTGCCCTCAATACTCAGGTGAGACTTGCATGGAGAAGAACTTGAAAGTTTTAAAGCACTACTTAAGTGCAAATTATTGTCATGTTCAGAAATTCTGAAAATCAAAATGCAATACTTTTCTTTCTCTAGAGACGTTCCTACACTGGTCTGTAAAACAACTGTATCTTAACTTTCCTCAAAAGTAACTCCCAAAAGGACAGTGGGTCTAGAGCACGATGAGAAAACAAAGACTTTCAATGCACTCCAGGTGTGGCTTCATTTTTGTTCTTGAAATAGAATGAGTCCCCTCTAGACCCTCAGCCAAACAGAAATGGAGACTTTTCTCTACAGCATAATTTTCCTGATGCAGCAAAGACTATGACTGACTGAATAATTAGGAAGCACCATTTGCAGAACAGGAGAGGGATTGTCCACACAGGTACAAGCTGCAGCACGCAACTCAGTGGTGCATTTTTATAATAATCAATGATCATAAAGGGATTAAAATATATAAAAGCACTGTATAAGAATAATGCTAGCAGCAACAGGGAAAAAAAGGCCATGTTACTATTGAGCAAAAGCTAGATATAATTGTTAACTGATGTTTAGGTCTTACCAATTTAAGGCTATAAAAACAAACTATTTTATTGATTCCTGCAAGGAAAAAGAAAAAAGAAAACTGCTATCACTTACGGGGAAACTTCAGCCCCAACTACCTTTTACCAACTAAAATAATAATGTAATTTTGTCAGTGCATCCTTCTTTGCAATATAGCTGTTGTAATTGAACACTACAGTTAGGAATTCCCAAAAATAGACTTTCAAAAGCCCAACCAAAATGCCAAATGGGTTATCCATTCTATAAAGTAGCACTGTAAGTTGACCTAACATTGCCCTGACAAAATTGTAGTTGTTAAACATGGTAGTCATCCAATTTTCAGTGGGAGAGCCTCATTTTCATTCACCAAACTATTCAGAGTACTCACCGATTCTGTGCCAAGCAAATGCTTTAAAACACCATGGTTACAATGATAAAAAGCTAAGTTCCCAGATTCAGTAGGCCAAGTATAAATAGATATAGCCATTTAAAAAACAATTTGGGGAAATCTAGTAAAGTTCTAGATGAATAAATCTTTTCACCTGACAACCCATACACACACGTAGGTTTATTAATTTATACATGTACTACAGCATATTTATGTATACACACACACACACACACACACACATATACAACATACTCCACAGCAGAATTTTAAACAGCAGGTTAGAACTCATTAATTCAACCTCAACAATTATTTATTTTTACAGGGAAAAAAGATATCAATGCATCACACAAAGGATAAATATTTTATTAAACTTTTTCTAAAAAATCAGCAACATACGTATATGTATACAGACACACATACACACAAAAATCAAGTCATGCTATAAAATGTTTCTCTGGATCACAGTCCACTAAGGCTGAAAAACACTACAAAGACACTCACACATATATACAAGAAGCAGTGCAACTAGAATATTTACAGCAGCGTGCTTTCTAAAAAGACTGGAAACAATGTAAATGTTCACAGTATGATTATCTCACCAGACATTGAAATATTACACACCAGTGAAAATGAATAAACTGCATGTGTCAACATGGATGAACACTAAATACAGTCATCAATGTCAGCACAATGTGATATAGGTAAGAGACAAGTGGTACTCTAACTGCAGAGACCAAGTCTGCTGGAAGGCACACACGTCTCAGAGGAGGCAAAGCTTGAGAGGAAGTCCCAAGGCTGACCAGTAGGCAACCAGCATAGAATAGGCCAAGACACACTGCTGGCAAATGCTCAATGAGGTGAGCGATGGTGGGCTCTGGTATGGCTGAAGGGCAGAGCATGAGAGTAACTGGGAGATTTTCAGGGAAGACAGACGAGGCCATGTAATGAAAAGCGTCACTCGCTGGCTAGGACCCTGGCCCCACAGAGAAGGCGATACTGCCTCTTCCAAGTTCATCACTGCACTCCCACGCACACATGCTGGGCCTTGGAGTGCCCAGCTGACTCTGCCCCGTGGGCCTCAGGGCACGTGCTGCCTACCCAGAGAGGGCATTGGGACCTCTCTGGCCTAGACCTCCCTCCCCACCCCCACCCCCACCCCCGCTATTCTTCATCCTTTGTAACTCTTACAACAATCTGCTCGGACATCTACGTAAAAATCCAAGGTAAACAAACACAAGAAGATAAACAGCTGGAAGGTTTAATTATTTTAGCAGCTAAGTCTCAAACTAAATAAAGTTAAAGAAATGCACAGTCAGCTCCAGATCGGCGCCTCTCAAACTCTGATGTGCGAGCACATCCCTGGGGACACTGTGAAATGCAGATTCTGACTGGGTAGCCCCAGACGGTGCCTGAGACTCCGCCATCCCAACCAGCAACCCTGGCTGCCCATGCTGCTTTCCACGGACCACACTTAAGAGCAGCAAGATTCTAGATCATTCTCTGTACAAAAGGTCTCAGAGAGAAAACAGTCCTTGCTGCAGAGAGCATCTATCTTCATTTACCTATGTGGGTTACATCCTTTTCCTCTTCTCCTTTTATGCTTCCGTTGTCTCAAATTACTCCTTTATGTGTTGTGATTTTTTTGCCAAATCGAAGTTCCTATAGTTGGTTTTGGGGGGTTTGTTTTGTTTTTTTAATGCTTTCTTTCCTTTTTAACCTTCATGATATAAGTGCTTAACAACCTATTCTGACACAGAGTTGTAATTTTCTGATTCTATTTATCACTTTACTCAAAGTTTTGTGTACTTTTGCCCTTTCATTTTAAGAGCTCCTTCCAACACTTCTTGTAAGGCAGGTCTAGTGGTGATGACCTTCCTCAGCTTTGTCTAAGAAAGCCTTTATTTCTCCTTCGGATCTGAAGGGTAATTTTGCTGGATAGCATATTCTTGGCTGACAGTTTTATTTTTCAGCATTTTGAGAATGTCATTCCACTCCCTCCTGGCCTGTGGAGTCTCTGCTGAGAAATCTACTAATAGTCTAATTGGGGTTCCTTTGTAGGTTACCATCCATTTTTTTCTTGGCTGCCTTTAAAATTCTTTGTCGTTGACTTTTCAGTTTTAAAATAATGTGTCTTAGAGAAGGTCTTTCTGCGATGCGGTAACTAGATGTTCTCTTCACTTCACGGACTTGTACAATTCTGTTCCTTTTCAGGTCTAGGAAGTTCTCAGCTACTGTTTCTTTAAATAAACTCTCTGCTCTCCTCTTTCTTCTCCTTTTGGGAAACCTATTTTCGTAACGTTGCCCTTCCGAAAAGAGTTGGATAATTCTTGTGAAATCTGTTCATTTTTAAGAACTTAGTTCTCTTTTCTCTTTTACCTGTATCATTTCTATTTTTCTGTCTTTGAGTTCACAAATTCTCTCTTTCATACAGTCTGCTCTATTTGCAGCGCCTTCAAATGCATTCTTCATCTCCTTTATTGAGACCTTCAGCTCCAGAATTTGGTTCCTTTTCAAGAGTCTCACGCTCCTCCGAAAGGTATTCCTTCCCCTCACTAATTTTATCCCTGAGCTCACGGAAGCGCCTTTCTGGGTTTTCTCTGGCCCGCCGAGTTCCTCCACGACAGCTCCCATGCATTCTCTATCAGTCAGAGGCTGCAGGAGTTCGTGACTTTAAGCGTCGTTTCTGGAGACTGTCATTTTCTCCCGACAACGACGACGCCGTGCTACCGAGATTCCTCTCGGAACTGCCAGTGCATCTGAAGGAGTGAACACCTGTTTCCAGCAGGTGGCGCCGCAGCACCAGTTCCCGGTTCCCGAGGGTCCGCACTTCCCACCCCACCGCCTAGTGCCCTCGCCGCTGCGCTCACTCCTCCAGGGTCGCGGCTGTCACTGGGTGACCACCTGGGACCCGGGAGAGCGGCGCCTCCTCTGGCTCGGGGTCTCCTGGGCGGCCAGCTCTGCTGCCTTGGGGAGGAGAGGGGAGCTAGGGGAGCCAGGGTCGCGGACACCGCCTTCCCTGCTGTACCCGGTCCTCCATCCGGCTGGGAGTCCAGGGCCCTCAGGTGTACAGATGGGTGGGGCTCTCGCGCGTCCTGGGGTGCTGGGCAGAGGAACCCACGTTGAGTTACGGAGTTTCACTGCTGGTGGGTGGAGGGGGAGAAGCACAGGGAGGTCTCACGCCGCCATGATGCTGACATCACCCCCCGCCCCGTTCTAGATTATACTGACAAAGCCTTCAACTCAAGTATTCGGCATACTTTATTCTTACTGAGTATGTGACTGACACTGAAAATTGATTTCAACAAACTTAAGAATAAAATCAGCTGAGGGAAAAAAAAAGTCCACGTTTATCTAGAATTCAAATATGGGTAATTTTAAGTATCACCATCTCATTAAACACAACACAAATAAGCTAATATCAACTAAAGTAATACTAGTCAGCTCATAATCACAACCACACTAAAGCAAAACTCTAGGAACAGAAATTATTATCTGGTCTCACTAATGTCACCACCTTGACTCATCCATCATCGGTGAACACTTAGGGAACACTAACAATCCAAACACACTCTGTTACAAGACTGATAAATGTGGCCACAATAAGAATGGAAATGAACACATGTGAGAACCACCAGCAAGAACTGACAAGCCGTACTGACTGGGAGACGCAGGGACAATGGAGAAGGGAGGACCAAAGACGTCTGTGAGTTCTGCTTTAAATCTGGGATTGAAAGCATCAAAGTCCTTGTACAGTCAGAAAGCTCTGCAGAAAATCTGTTGAGTGCTTTAAATAACAGTGACACACTGAGATGAAAATGTCCAGCAAGCAATTAGGAATACAAGACTAAAGTTCAAACTGGTGACATATATGAGGATCTTCTTCAAGATGACAGTTGCAGCCTCAAGAACAAAAAGAGCAAAAAAAAAGCAGACTATTGAGTCTCACAGAGAAAATGAAAAGCAGTACAAAATCAGAGAAGGACGGAGTTTTAAAGAAAAGATGGTCAACAGTGTCAAAAATTTCAGAGACGTCAAGAAGAACGAAGCTAGGACAACACATCTGGACACATGGGCAACTCACAGAGGTCAGGCAGAGAAGAGGGAGGGAGGGAGGGAATTCAATTACTCTGAAGTCCATCACCAGTTTAGGGGGAGGAAGGGGAGGAGAGAGGGGCTTTACCCATTCTGAATTCTATTGCCCAGTTAAACTTTCACCATTTCAGTCTCCAAATCCAAACCTTTAACACATCTATAATCTTGATCCTTCTTAAGTCAACTTCATTTTGCACTACTCCAGTGGGCACACTCGGGAAGACAGTCGGTTACTCAGAAGTCAGAACAAGGCTCATTGCCTTCCCTTGAATACAACTCAGTTGTCCAGTCTTGAAACTTTCCTGAACACTGTTTCCCTTGCCTAGAATGTTCTGCCCATGATACACAAGTCCTGCCTCACCTTTCAGGCCTAACTTGAGTCCCATACCTCCATAAAGCCTTTCCGTAGGACTTCATGCCTTCGTTCTCCTTTGCTTTATAGGAGTGTCTGCAGCCCACAACAGCTTGTCTCACAGAATATGCCACAACAGGGACCTGCGATTTTTCGATCTAATAGTCATGTCTACAAAGGTAAATGGTAAAGCTTCCACAGAGAAGGCCCTATATGGCCCATGTCACCCACAGTAAGGGAACAGGTCTAGATAAGGGAACAGGCGACAAAAGAAAAAAATCAGCTAAGTCTGATGACTTAGTCAAACACACAGGTTCTTTGATACCTGAAGCAATCCATCTATTCACTTAAAAATAGAAACAAAAAAGTGTGACAATGAATATATGTATGTTCATGTATAACTGAAAACTTGTGCTCTACACTGGAATTTGACCAAACATTGTAAAATGACTATAGCTCAATAAAAAAGTTTTTTTAAAAAATTAGTCTATAAAAAAAAATAGAAACAAAAGCAAAAAACATCAGGCAGAAACTGTTCTTTCTAATACGCATTTGTCATCCTTCCTTTCAATAAGAAAAGCCCCGAAGTTTTAGCTAGAAATGTGGCTACTCGGATAGAAACTACATTTCTCAGCCTCCCCTGCAGCGAAGCGTGGCCACATAACCAATTCTGACCAACAGAAGGTGAGCTAAAATTACGTGTTCTGCCATTAACCATACTGAGCATGCGTTCCCCTGGCCTCTTCCCCTCCCCATGAGCTGAGAAGATGAGAAGAAATGAACGCGCTACCTTGGATCTGAAAGCCTCATGTTGAAGAGGGCAGAGCTACTCTATCCACAGTGGATGGTTCATCTGCAGACTACTGAGAAGAAGAAATAAACTTCCATCCTGCTTAAGCCACAGTACTTCCAGGTCTTTTTGTTACAGCAGCTAAACCTACAATCTACCTAATCCAATATGCATCATATCTGCATGTTGGCGGCAGTAATTAGAACATACCGGAGATTTACCCCTTATTTCAGGGCTAAAATTTTAAAAGAAGTATTTAAGAATAATAAAGCACACTTTCATCAAACCTTAGTTTTCCAGATTCAATTTAAATCACCAAGTATGTATTATGTGTCCGTTTTCACCAAGGTATTATTAGATGAAAAAGACAAAACACAGGTCCTATCTCAGGGAGCCTGCAATCCAGGAGGTCATTCAGTGGTTACAGTGTTAAGTGCAAATGATGGGGAAACACACAAGAGGAAAAGGTGAATGCAGGCCGGTGATATCAGTACAGGCTTTGCAGAGACGGCAGCACCTGAGGTGATTCTGAAGTGGAAGTCCAATTACAGCAGGTTGGGTCTGAACAAAGTATAAGTGAACAGTAGTGCCCCTCCCCCCTTGAAGAGTTTCAGCTATGCTGTAATGCTGGAGCCGAAATACAATACTGCAGCACCTGATTACTGCTACGTTTCTTTTATTTAAATACTGACTTGACCTTTTTAAAGTTTTGATATATATGCACATAAATTTGTATAGTAAAGTGACTACTAACTTTCAGATAAAGACACAAACTCCAGAGAAAGTAGAAAAAATGAGGTTTAGTGAGTGATAAATTAAAATCTAAATAATGTAAAAACGTACTATATAACTAAAAAAGAACAGGAATTTTACCAAGAACTCATTCAACCTGCCTTGCAGACTTCATATCATTTGATGAAATTGTATGCTATTCTGAGAAGAAACTTCTTTTAAGTTTCTGATTACCATGACAGACTAGCAAACAGAAAAACTTCTTTCAATTTTTTATAAATAGAAAATAACATACAATGAGGAACAGAGAAAATAATCACTAACTGCTAACAGTAATTTCCTTTTAAGATTTAAAGCCTTCTCCAATTCCCCAACACTTTCTAAATAACATTTATCACAGTGATTTACAGTTCATTGTTTAAGCTATCTTTTCTGCGACACAGTGATCTCTTTGAGCAAAGGGACTTCATTTCATCGATCTCTGCATGCTCTGCACCCAATACAACATCCGACATAAAAATGCAGGCAGTCTCCAGCTTACAAATGATAACTAGAACCTTGAGTTACTGCTGCCAAAATGAGCAGGAAAGTACTTTTAGAGGGAACTAGCATCTTAATGAATCTGCAAGACATTATTCAATGTATTTCTAGAAACACTGTCTAATTTAATCCTAACAAACACACAAAGTGGGTAATGTTACTACACCATTTCAAGATTAAGAAAATTAGGTTCAAAAACAAGGGAAAATGCTAGGAAGACGAGAGAGAGGTAAGAGGATGCCACGGCCAGGTCCCAAAATGCAACTGTGAATACCCTGCGTCTCCTACTGTGGTAATTCCATCCTTCCAAACAAAAGTCCCATGCATGGGCTGACTGTGTTTACTCTACAATGTCAATTTTTTGAAATGCCAAGTTACTTTCTGCTGAAGCTAATAATATAGATTTAAAGATGCAAATAATCTGTTCATCTTTCTAGAAGTACCATTTCTTCCCACATTATTATAAGTTCACTTTATCTCTTTCCTCATGATACACCAGAACAGAGGCAGTAAGAACTGAATCTGGTTTGGTTTGATTCCTTGAAGAAGGAAATTGCAAAGCATAGAGAATTCTGATCCAGGGGGAACAGAGGAGAGAGGGAGGGCAAAATCACCTGGGATGTAAAAGGTGACTCACAAGGCAGCACCACAGGAGCGGATTCCTAGGGAAAGGGAGACACACCAAACAGTAAAAGGATCCTAAAGAGAAACCACCTACACCAACACGTGTCCATGACCAAGCATGGAACAAGGAAGGAGCCCCTTCTCTTCCGCTAACAGGCCCTTTGTTCCCCACCCCAGAGCACTGACCAGCTTTTCACTGCTCACAGTCAGCGAGGTTAGGGGCCAGTCTCCTCGGGGATGACCAAGACAGAAAAGTCCTAAAACTTGATAGTGGTGATAACTGCAAAACTCTTGTTAATATACTAAAAATCACTGAATTATACATTTAAAATAAGTGAATTTTATAGCATGTAAATTATATCTCAAAAGGCTGCTTAAAAAAATACATACATTTCTTTAAACGTGGACATGCAATATCATGCATTCCTTCTACTGCTATTTACTTTACCAGAAAAGACAGAATGGTGGCCAGGAGTAGAAGCAGCCGGCTTAAGTTCAGAAGGAGATCCCAGAGGGGACCCCAGGATGTGGAGTCCTGGCACTCACAGAAGCGTCAGCCAAGATGACACAGATGCAGATCACATTAAAAAGGTTCCATAACTAAACCCAAAAGTTTAACTAGAAGTGCCATTAATACTATTTCAACAACAGCTGTTTTAAAACAGTTTCTTCCAGCAAACATACTCAACAGAATGTTCATCAGTTTACTTTTTTCTTTTTTTAAAATTATTTTTCCTACAATTTTTAAGGGTTACATTCCATTTACAGCCATTACAAAATATTGGCTATATTCTCTGTGTTGTACAACACATCCCTGAGCCTACCTCACCCCTAGTGGTTTGTACCTTCCACCCTTGACCCCTGTGTTGCCCGTCCCCCTCTCCACTGGTAATCTCTAGTTTGTTCTCTGTATCTAGGAATCTGCTTCTTTTTTGTTATATTCACTAGTGTGTTGTATTTTTAGATTCTACATATAAGTGATATCATACATTATTTGTCTTTCTCTACAGAATGCAAACTTTCCTTCTTTTTATGGCTGAGTAGTATTCTGATACATATTATATATATATATATATTATATATATACACATATATATAAATCACATCTTCTATATTCAATCATCTGTTTATGAACACTCAGGTTGTTTCCACATCTTAGCTAGTGTAAATAGTGCTGCCATGAATACTAGGGTACATGTATCTTCTCAAAATAGTGTTTTTGTTTTTTTCAGATATATACCCAGAGTAGAATTGCTGGGTCATATGGTAGTTCTATTTTTATTTTTTTGAGAAACTTCCATACTGTTTTCCACAGTGACTGCACCACCTTACATTCCTATCAACAGTGTACTAGCGTTCCCTCTTCTCCAGATCCTCACCAACATTTGTTATTTGTGTTCTTTTTGATGACAGCCAATCTGACAGGTGTGAGGTGATATCTCATTATGCTTTTGCCCTGATGATTAGTGATGTTGAACATCTTCTCACATGTTGTTGGCTATCTGCATTTCCTCTTTGGAAAAATGTCTATTCAGTTCTTTTAACTTTTTTTGGATTTTTTAAACTGGATTTTTTTTGATGTTGAGTTGTATGAACTGTTTACATATGTTAGATATTAATCCCTTATCAGTCGTATCATTTGCAAATATTTTCTCCCATTCAGTCGGTTGTCTTTCCATTTTGTTGATAGTTTCTTTGCTGTGCAAAAGCTTTTCAGTTGAATTACATCCTATTGTTTATTTTTGCTTTTGTTTCCTTTATTTTAGGAGACGGATCTAAAAAACTATTGCTGCGATTTATGTCAAAGAGTGTTCCGTTACGGTTTCCGTTTTAGTTTACTTTTTAAAACACTAAATATTTTAACATACAATATTTTACTAAGAAGGAAACAAAATGTTCTTTAAAATATCCTTTTTTAAAAATCGGAAAGTAACATATTTTGGCATGATCCACCTACCTGTCTACTGTTCATCTACCTCACATTCACGGTTCCTATAAAGCAGCATCAGTAGCACTGAAACATAACAAGTGCGGGTAACACCTGACAGTTTCTGCACAACTTTCCAAGATTCAGAGTCATCACACTGCTGATGAGAGGAAAGGTTCCGCGTGCTGTTTTAATCATTTCCTGGCAGCTAGAATATGAAGCATTCACACAGGTCAAGCAATTGTGGTCCCCGGAAAAGGACTCACAGACACGTCCTACCTTAAGTAATTAGTTCCTTCTCCTGAAATCTGTCTAAAACCAGACTGACATTAAATAGTAAGAAAAGAATGTTTCTGTCTAAGGTTTTTAAAAGAATTTCCCTTTAACACACAGCAGTCATCATTCTTCAGTATCTTCATCCAGTAAGAATCTTATGCCAAACCAAACTAGTAACATAAAACAAAACTTTTGAAAGAATAGTTCTAGAATAAAGAAATTTAAAAACCTTTCTATTCAGAATGATGGCATTTAAGTTGTAATGTTTAAATAATTCCCTTGGAATTAGAATTGCCTTTTTTTTTTTAAGTTTCTTAGACTCAGAAGAGCAGTGCATGCATTCCCCCACCAAGTATTTACTGAGTGCCCCCCATTTCAAGGCACTTGTGTTCAAGGCTCTGGGGATTCAGTGATGAACAAAACAGATAAACTCCTGCTCTCCTGGAGTTTATATTCCAGTGGGAAGCGGTACACAGTAAACAGACATGTAAAGGAACAGTGTGTCAGGGAGGGATGAATTAAGGGTTGGGGATTAACAGACACACATTACTATACATGAAATAGATAAACAACGGGGACCTACTGCATAGCTCAGGGAACCACATTCGGTTTCTTGTAATAACATATAATGGAAAAGAATCTGAAAAGAAAATATGCATATATGTATGTATATGTACAACTGAATCACTTCGCTGTACACCTGAAACTGACACTGTAAATCAACTACACCTCAATAAAAAAATTTTTTTAAAAAGTAATAGTGTGTCGATGGCAGTAAACATTACATAAGAAAATAAAGGGAAAATGGACAGGGAGAGCACAGGTGGAAACAGGCAAGGGGTGGGGGTGGTGCTCTTTGGTCAGGAAAAGTTGTACTTGACCAGAGACCTGAGGCGGGAGAGGAACAGACCATGCAGCACCCGGGCAGGAGTAATGAGGGCAAGGGGACAGGCTGCACAGAGGACTGAGGAAGAGGAGATGCCTTCCTCCCTCAAGGTTAAGGCACAAGAAATGTTTCAGGCATGTTTAAGAAATATCACAGAGGTTTTGTTTGTTTTTTACCCTGCCTGTGAAAGTGACTTTTACATCCTTACATCAAGCACAGTAATACAACTTGTCCTATGAAATATTCTTAAATGGCTGTTTTGGAAACAATCTACTAAGAGTCTCCAGGAATGGATCAGCATAATCAGTTCATACAGACTTCCAGCATTTCAATTTATCTTCTCATTTTGTTAATTCTTCTGTTGCTTCCTAGTTTATGGCAGAATGACTTTCTGAAAACCTCAAAAAGATTTATGTACACATTCCACAGCGGAGACAAAATTAGTATATTCTCTAACTGAAAAACCTTTGGAGAGGAGTACCACTGAGAACAGTGGATCACAGTCATCAGAAATACGAGAGTAGTCTGGGTCTAGGGGCAAAAAGCCAATGCGGCACTGGGAACCAACTCAGACTCAAGAATCCCCTCAAGCTTAAAACTGAAGTAAGGCTATACACGCTGCTCTGCCCCATTACCACTGAACAAAGAAATGCAAGCTGAAATGGGAGGAGACTGTGTATTCACTTACCCTATTAACACTGACCAAGGAAAAAACAGAAGCATTGGAAAGAGTCTGTGGAGAGGGGGGAGCAATGAAAAAGTTTTCTGCTTTAGTCATTTCTTTCACAGAATCTGCTCTGTGAAAATCAGCAAGCGGCAAGTCACTTTCCCTTTCCCAATAAACAGCACCAAAATAGGTATGTTAGATAAACGTCTTAAAATTTAGTATATTAATAGCTTCTAAAATCCTCAAGTATTTAATCTTTTAAGAGAATATGCCCAGGAAAAATGAGAATCAACACTGAAATATTTCTTCCTAGTATACTGAAAAAAAAAATCTTAGTACTGTTTAAATGATATAGCCAGAAACAGTCATTTACCTAAAAAAGTGACTTGAAAATGTATTAGATTTACACATCTTTAATGTTAGGTTTTAGATGTCTATTTTCAAGCTTTTTTTATATGCCAGAACAGTGCACTTTTAAAAATAAGTGTTCTGTATTGTTTTCTTTTAGCCAAGGCAACGGTAAGAGGCAAATATGACCAAACACTCAATGGCTTTCAGAACTGACTTTCAAATCAATCAATTCCACTTATCAGAAAACAAGCAAACTCACAGAAAAAGAGATCAGATTTGTAGTTACAGGGCTCATTGGATGAAGGGGGTCAAAAGGCACAAGCTTCCAGTTATAAGATGAATAAGTCCTGGGCATGTAATGTACAGCATGATGACTATAGTTAACACTGCTGTATAATGTGAAGTTGTTAAAGAACAGATTCTAAGAGTTCTCATCACAAGGGAAAACACATACACATATATATGTATCTATGTGAGATGATGGATGTTAACTCAAAGTACTGTGGGACTCATTTCTCAATGTATGTACAACAAAACTTACGCTGTACCAGCTAAACTTATGCAGTGGTGTATGTCAATTACAGCTCAGTAAAACTGGAAAAATTCACCTGTTATTCCTTTTAACTTAAAATATGTCTAATATAAATTTTTGTTTGGTGTTACTAATTTGAGTTCAACATCCTTTTGTTATCAAAATAGTAAATCATAAGTTCCGTTACAGACAACTCATGAAAATTCTAGAGTGGTTACAACTAAACATGTTCAGAGATGAAATGAAGTTTACTCATTTTGTCAAATTAAAATCATGCTCAAAATGTTGCATGTTTATGTGATAAAAATACAACAAAATCTGATAAATCTAAATTCCAGTACAGTATAACTGGAATAAAGTTACTTTAATACTATCAAAACTTAACATAGCAAAAGAAATTATTAATGTCAAAAGTAGTTGATAATCAAAAGCCAGCAACAAATTAGATCATAGGAAAACTCAGAACAAAGAAAAACAAATATATTTGGCAAAATACAAACTGCTAGTTTCCTAATCCTAAATTTTACTCTAATATTATTCTGGCTCCCGGTGATTAAATTCCAGAAACTATTCCTGAACACTGGTTTATTTAATACACCCTGGGCCTATATATTAGCAACTCAATTATTCCACTTTTTCTCTCATTCCTGAATTCTAGAGCCATTTATTATCCATTTATATATTCTTGCCAGAATTCTAACAATACTCTAACTTAATATAATTCAGAAAACGATGTGGGCGTCATAATCTTGATTAATGGTGGGCACCACCTGGCATTTTCTTTTCCATTTGTCCACTAATACAAAAGCACTCATTAAATATAAGTAGGGTTATACAATTTAAAAAAATTTTAAGTATGAAAATATTTTAAGTGTACAGAAAAGCAAACAGAAAAACTGGCAGTACAACTGGCCCAGTCAGATGGACCCACTGATGTCTCTATTTTAAACAGAACCTACAGTGATTTACTGGATCCTCCACTGAGCAGCCAGACAGAAGTTTCTCTCAACAACACCTTAATATGGTTTGTGTGTTTGCCATGAAACCATGAGGAAAGGCAAGCTCAAAACATGTGTTCTCAGTAAATATGATCTTCACTAAAAACAAAGAATTTGTTCATTAGTTTTAACTTAAAATAAAAATCAGCTTGGGAAAATAACTTTTTTTTTAACTATAAAGACTTAGGTTTTCTGTTTCTGCTGCCAGGATACATGTTGGAGTTATAATATAGCAGGTAAAGGCATGAAAGAACAAAGTAAAGAAGCCAAAAGTGGGTTACTGTTCTATAAAGTCAAGGAGTAAACACAGCAGAGATGTATCAGACTGCAGATAATGACCAGTAATGTGTCCTATCCATCCTGGGGTAAACACAGCAATCCAAAACAGGGCAATGTACACATCACAGTAAGAATAAAAACTATTCAAGAAACACTTCTTGCGGGGAGGGCATAGCTCAAGTGGTAGAGCACACGCTTAGCATGCATGAGGTCCTGGATTCAATCCCCAGTACCTCCTCTAAAAATAAATAAACAAACCTAATTACCTCCCTCCTCAACAAAAAATAAATTAATTTTTTAAAAAGAAACACTTCTTTCAGTCACATGTAACATGTACTGATTCCCCACGTAAAACAATTTTTTCTCAATGTGTCTCAGAGACACAGATGCAAGGCCATCACTGATGCCCCCACTTCACTGTATGTCTGAACACACCCTCCCTAAGTTTAGCTTCCCTATCTGTGAAATGGTGCTGAAAACACAAATTTGACAATAATGGTTGCAGAAAACCTAGACAATCTGCATAAAACATAGTAACTGACACAGAGGAGGCTCTTAAGTATCACCTTTTAACTAACATATACCCTAATTAAACGTGCTAGCTATTACCCTCTGGAGACTGGCTAAATAGTTAAGATTTTTCATTTTAATTTTTAAACAATATCCCCCGGATCATATAAAAACAAAAACTAAAGCAATAAACCCCAACAACAAATGTTTCTTAAATCAAAATAAAATCTACCAACTTTGTTGTCAACACCTTGACCTTCCTACCAGATCACTATCTGAACAGAATGGTAACGTTTGGTGCTTTTGTTTCCCTCTTGGTGTTTCTAACCATACCATCATCCAAAATTTTCTAAACTTTTTTCCTTCCCTAACCAAGCGTGGTCACTCTGCCCCATTCAGGCCTTCATTCCTTGGTAAAAATGCCAAATTCCACACTTCACGCAATCATAAGGGGCCTTGAGGGGGGAGGGTGTAGCTCAGTGGTAGAGAGTGTGCTTAGCATGCACGGGGTCCTGGGTTCAATCTCCAGTACCTCCATTTAAGTAAGTAAATAAGTAAGCCAAACCCCCCCCCATCAAACCCCGCCAAAAAAACAAGAAACTTTGTGTTCATGAAGTGGTTACTCACTGAAGGCAGCATAATGGCTCGTGGGTTAGAATTAGACGCTGATGGCTCTCGAACTACAGACAAATTATGCAACCTCTCTAATGTCAGTTTCCACAACTACAGGGTAGGGCAACTTCATCTACACCTTTTAAAGTCCCTTGAAATTAAAGCATCTAGTACAAAGAGAACTATGAATGGCAATCCTAGTCCCCTTCACTGACAAGGCCATCCTTCACTACGGAAACATTTCAAGTAATAGAATGTTACCAACTTGCAGCTTACTCCAACCATGGGCAATTTTACCTATTAGAAAATTCTCTCCTATACTAATATGAAAATGCCGCAGATTCAGAGGAGGAAAAAAGATCGGGATGAACTGAAGCAGTGGGGGCGGCCTCAGTCAAAGGCAGCTTCGTGAAGGCAGTGTACCTGGAGGTGGGCCTGGAAAGATGGGTGAGCTTTAGATACAGAAAGGACTTCGAAGGTTAATGGTTCATTCACT